TATCACAAATCTTCGCACAATATATTTTGCGCGAGATATGAAAATCAATTCTCAAGTTGCAATGTATACATTGCACTGCAATATTTTTATTAAATAATAATTAAAATAAATAATAAACAAAATGTGTACAATAGCTCAAGAATAAGTAGATACAAACAATTATAATTTAGTAAGAAGCAAGTGGTCTCGCAGACTGAGTGCAGGGGCTGCGGATATGGGCTTTGCGGAGGTCTCGAGTTCAAATCTCACTAATCANCTTAGGATTTTTCAGGTCCGGTCCCTTTCAATGGAGTTCATCGGTTGATCGGTGAGCTGTATCAGGCCTTCAAAAACTAATTCGAGTGAAATCTCGAAATTCCCCTCATTTTTAAAACTTTTGCAAGAGATATCATTTGCATGTTTTTGATGTGGACATTAGCAGTNTCAGGCATATCCCTGAGATATTATTTGAACATCATCACTCGTTCGAAAATGTCTCAACGAGATATCTTTTGCACATTCAAAGTCTCTGTGAGATATCTTCAAGACATCTTAAATACATCATTGTGCCGTCTGGGATTATTTAGATAAATATTTACAGAAGGTTTCTTTCTCCGAAATCAATCAGCGTGACATGTTGTCAAGGATATCTCCTTGAGTAACAATCAAAAGGTTTTAGTCGTCGCTCGTTGTTTGTTAAAAAGTTATACACAAAAAAAGGTATAAATAAATTCTTATTTTCCGACATCATGTACATTTTGTTTGTGTGTAAGCGTGTAGGCAGGCGAGAGCAACGCTACGGAGGCTCACAGGGGGAGCTACATCCTCTCTCGAGAAAAAATAGGGATTGACTTCCGATTAAGAGTGACAGTATATGAAGCGCGGAAACGCGGAAACGCGGAAAATAGTAACTAGATTCCACGTTTCCGCGAATTGAGTTTGTTTCTTCCCGCACGTTTGAGCGGAAAAACAGAATCCGGTATTTCCGTGTGTATCAAGTACATAAGTATACAATTGTACAGAAAATAAAAACGTTAATAAATGATCCAAGGCCTCTTTTTTCGTTTGATGGCTCTGAAAGAATCTCTGCCACATGGCCAAGAATCGCGTTGACAATATTTTGACGCTCTTGTTCCGCGGGTTTATTTTTCCTTATATTACATGAAGCACAATTACACGGAAAACCGGAACGATATAGTGACAAATAGATATTTGTATTTATTTTAAAAAATTGATTTCTCGTAATTCACTGCAATTTTTATTAATATGCTTATTTTTTCAGTTTATCTATTGAATACAAACATTTTGATCAGTAAATATTGTTAAAAATTGATATTTTATAATTTTCCGTTACGCTTTTCCGCACAATATATGCTCTATGTAATATAAGGTAATCAAAACAGACGGAACGGAACGCGCGGAAAGGCCATCACACATAAAATTACTTAAGACCGTAAGACATAACCGTAAGGAAATTAACCAATCAGAAATTTACGTTCGAAAGTGATGGCGACATAGTATACATTCTGATTGGTTAATTTTCTTACGGCTACGTTTTACGGTCTTAAGTAATTTTGTGTGATGGCCTGAAACACAGAAATCTAGTAAAGTCTAGTTACTTTTGACTTCCGCGTTTCCGCGTTTCCGCGTTTTCGCGCTTCATGTACTGGCACCCTAAAGTGTTGCTAAAAACCACGTACTATTGACATGAAGCAAAATATAATCGGAAGTCGTTCCTTACTTTTTCTCGAGAGAGGATTCCTCGAGAAAAAAGGAGATCTTCCCAGTAAACACAAAGTAACATAACATTAATGTTATAACAATTAAATTCTTAAGCTCCTCGAAAATTCAACGAAATATATAAGAAATATATAAGGTTCTAAGAGTAGTTAGTTTTGTTTGGGGCGGTTTTCGGGGTCCTTCATATACGTGATGCAAATTTAGCATCCTATATGAATTGAAGAATTGAAAACTCAATTAAAAAAAACTCACTTGTAAAAATTTATTTGTGTACACGTATATATATTCATATATATACATACATATTTCCGCACAAACATCCTGCGAACTGCTCTTAGAACCTTATATATTTCGATTAATGTTATAAATTTCCTACTCAACAATGTAACTGCGATGTAACATGCCTTGTACACAGCGCGTCAGGAATTCGAAGGTAGGCGCGGGGATCGGAGGGCAAGCGGGCCGTACGATTCATACGGCGCTTGTTGGCGAGCAACCGCCCCGCTTGCCCTCCGATCCCGCGCCTACTCTTCGAATTCCTGACGCGCTGTGTACGTAGCAGTTACATTGTTGAGTGTGAAATTATAACATTACTGTTACGTTACTGTTACTTTGTGTTTACTGGGTTCTTCCCCTGAGGGCGTAGCCTCCCCTACCTACATGCTTACAACACGAACAAAAAGAACAAAAAAGTAGTCTTGTTATTTTGGTTCAATATTATACATGATGTACATTGCAAAATATTGAAAGAATTTGGCGTGATATGCGAGCGTTATAAATATTCCACATTATGGAACATCAGTAGAACATTACAAATTTTACACAGCTGAATATTTATTTAAACGTCGCTTTGCACACGAAGAACGGATAGATATCAGTTTTTCACAATAATGTCAGAAATATATTCTTTACATGATGTTTGGCTACAAAACAATGAACAATACTTACAATGCATTATGATAACATGAAAAAACCGAGCTACAACCTTTTGATTGTTACTCAAGGTGATGTCTTTGACAATGTCAATCTTATTGAATTCGGAGGGGAGTGATTTTTTATATTTATCCATTATTTGTTTGTTGCGTTATTCATCAGTTCAATTAAGTTTTAATAAGATTGCGCGCGCGCGCGCGCGTGTGTGTGTGTATGTAGGTGTGTATGGATGAGTGGATGGGTGAGTGCGTTTATATGAGCAGTAAATTACTCGGTGGAATCCACTGATAGATTTGATACGCTTCATGAAACCATTTAATTACAAGTCCGTTTTCGTATTTGTCAACCTCGTAGATGCAGATTAGGTCCACCGGTCCAGTGCCGTTCCGCACAACGTGCGGAACATTCACAGATTTGATCGACGAAGCAATAATCCCTAAAAGAATAGTTTTCGAAAATCCGCGATAATCCCGCAGCATAAAATATTTCGATAAATTAGAAAGCATCTTCAACGTATTTAAAATTGAAATATTTGGAGAGAAAAAGACATTATGGGGAAGAGTTCAATCTCAACAATTTAAAAGCTCGGAAAAATTTACAACTAAGTATTAGGATTGTAGTGACCATAATTTCTAATTTTTCGCAATGTTTTAATATTAATTGAATCATAGAATAACGGATAATTTTCAATTATAATATTAATTAAAATCCTACTAATTTAATTATAATCCTACTTATTTAATAATTAAAATCCTACTAATTTATTAATAGTAAATCTTTACGAGCTTTTTAATTGTTAATCTACGCAGATTAAAAATTATGCGTTATTCCGTATTTTAAGTTATATTTATTGCAAGACATTCATTTAATAGCCGAATTGAAAAGGCATTTGCGCGAAATGTAGAAGATTCGGGTTCGATTACTGGCCAAGATCTTTTTTGAAATGAATTTTTCAATTTTCATGAAGAAGAGCTTGCATGATTTAAGCCATCTACTCTTACAGATACGCTGATAAGCGTATAGAGCTGGGCATATTTTAAATACTTGTATTTGAAATACAATTGTATTCAGGGATGAGCATTATTCAATTATTTTTTATTTAAATAACGAAAACTTAAAGAATTAAAATACATTCATAATTTGCCTTTTTATTGAATGATAAATAAAAATTTACTCGTCATTCGGCCACTTGTGAATGACGAATAAAAATTTATTCATTATTTGGCCACTCTTGAATAATAAATAAATACTTATTCGTTATTCAATACATTGCGTATCAGAGTTGGGCATTATTCGAATAAAACTTTATTCGAATATCATTTTGAATAAATTTTTTGAATAAAATTTTATTTGAATAATAATTCAAATGAATTCTTCGAATATACTGTTATTCGAATATGTGAAATAAATTTATCCAATCAAATTTTATTTGAATAATATTTCGACTAAATGTAAAATGTGGTCGTAAGAGCCGTGTTTTGCAAGATGTGCAGGAATATGCTTGTATATATATATATATATATATATATATATATATATATATGAAATTCACATGTAATATATGTATTTACATGTAAAGTTTTACA